AAAAAAATATGATAACAAATATTCCTGGATACATGAAACAAATACGAGAGTTAGATAGCAATATATAAAGACTATCACCTCTGGAGGACTTCCATGTTCGTTTTCCAAATTGAAGTAAGCAACCCATATGTATTAGCTTCTCTTCTTTTTCACGAACATTTATAGTCTTCAAAGCCCTTCAGTGTAGATTTAGCATTAGACATGATAAACAAAACGAATATAGAGACATAAAACAAAATGAATGATTTAGCATTAGACAGGATAAACAAAATGAATGATTTTGTAGAGAACCACATACGTTGAAGTCAGCAAGTTATAATATAATTTTGAGAAAACCTCATAATGTTGGAGAAAGTCTAACGATGATGACGGAGATTGAACTCATTATAACCTGCCAAACGACAAACAAAAAATTTGATTAAATTTCAACTATGAAAACATCAAAAAATGATAACAAAGACTGTAAATGTTTAAACGCCAAAAAGAAGTGATGAAACTATGTTTTGTGTTTCATGTGTCGACTAATATGTGTCTTATATAGAGAATGAAACTTAACAAATTGATATTTAAGGTTGCCGCAAATCTATACTTATATTTGCGAAGTCAAAAATTCTATGTGGCATCGTGAGAGCCTCTCTCAGACCTGGCATTCCGAAAATACCATTAATGACTTTCAAAATTACGGTGGAATGCCATTGACTATATTAAAAAAAACGTGGGCTCATAAACTCCAATCGGTGGGTAATGTCGTTTTTACAGAAATTTATGTAAGGCCCATAGTATTATCATGGCCCAACGATTTTTTGCTGTGTATTTTATCGGAAATTATTGTTGTATAAAGATAAAGATGTCTATATTATTGATATATTTCTATAGTTATCATATATAATCTTATGTGAATATTGTATTCGAATATTCGGCTGCCATCTTTTACAATATTCCGTTTTGCATATTATGATTTTATGTTAATCTTCCATATGTATTTATCTCATAGTAGATTTATGTTAGTTTTCCATATGTATTTATCTCATAATAAAAAACCCTAGGTTTTTTGTTTTTTTTTCCTATATATATGTATTTATTCACCTCTCTACTCTGGTAATTTTTTTTTACTAATTTAGGTTCTCTCTTCATAAACGATAATTTTTGTCCTCTCTTATAGGATTTGGTGTTTGTTATTCTTTCGTTTGTTTGATAAATTTCATAAAAAGTCGATGTTTTTTACCGGTGGAGTTGGTTTTAATGGCGGAGGATTCGATGCGAGCACGAGATGGGAGAGAAGAGGAGGTTTTGTGGAAATACAGGAGACGTGTTGTTGTTGGCGGATTGTCTCCAGAGAAGAAGTAAGATGTGAAGAAATAAAGAGAGATGAAAAACCAGAGGATCCATTTGTAATAATTTCTGAAGAAGACGAAGACTTTGGTTGTTTATTTTGTTGTTGGTTCCTCATCTGTCATTAAGCTGTATTTTCACGACGAAACCCATCTTATGTTTAGTTGATATACTCATCTATAACTTTATTTCTTTGCAGGTTTCTTTCTATATCAAGGTATGTTTTAGAGTTTGTTAGTTTTTGGTTGTTATTTTCATATTCTTTTGATTTTATCAGTGGTTTTATTGTTTTAGATTTTTCAGCTCTTCTTATTAATTTTTTTGTAACACTCTTTGATTGTGTAGATCGAAGGGACTGAACATGAAAGGTTGTATAGGAAACGTTCCAATTTGTTGTTTAAATCAACTCCACATCCTTCGGGTTCTTCAAGAAGGTAAAGTAATCAAAATTTTATTTTTCTTTTTAGGGTTCATTAGATTTTGAGAAATTGTGAAAATTTGGAAATGGGTTTTTGGAAATTGGTTGGCTATTTGGATTCCAGGAAGCAATGGATTAATCAAAGTCCTATTCCGTTACCTGTTGATCTTGATCAAGTAATCCGACATTAAGGTACTTTCATAAGGATTTTTGGAAAAGAATTAGTTTGATAGAGGCATTAGGATTCTGTTCTTGATCAAGTTTTGATGACGTTTCAGATCTGTTGTGGTTGTAGAAGAAAAATTTGCTGAGAAGAAGGAAAAGGAAAGAGAGACAAAAGCAGAAACACGAGAAGAGAAGACAAAAAGGAAAATATGAGAATATATTGGTCAGAAGAGAAAAACTCAACTTCTGTTGTTCATCCCTGCATAGATAAGCTTAAAGACGAATTATTTTGTGCAGTGTGAATCGGAATCTTGAGAGACTCTTTTGTTGGTTTTACTTGGTAATCTCTTGCTTAAAATTGATATTTGGTTTCTGATTCTGCAGATTTGTCTTGAGATTTGCTTTGAGCCAAGTACTACAACTTGTGGACACATGTAGATTAACTACAGAACACATAATTGTCTTTGGATGGTGAATTTGGTACTGAATTGTTCAATTTTTTGGTATGTGCAGCTTCTGCAAAAAGTGGTTACTATCTGTGGCGGATAAATGTTTGAAGAAAATGTCCTAAATGCAGGCATCTAACAGGGTAAATAGAACCAACTTTTAATGAGTTTTGTATCCAAAGCTTTGAGGTTTTATTATCTAACAATGTGATTTATGTATGTAGAAATGGAAGATATTGTACGGTCAATACGGTTCTTTGGAACACGATCCAGCTTTTGTTCCCTGAAGAAGTTGAAGCACAGAGAAGGAGACGCCAAGTCCTGGAAACCCTGATCAAAGGATAAGAAGCAGAAACAACAGAGATCAAGATAGGTTGCAAAGCGTGTCTAAACAGAGTCTTAATGAAATAGATAGTGGTTTATTTTGTAGCTCATTCTTGCAGGATGCAACTTTGGACATCATGGATTGTTCTCTTTCTTGCTCAAAGCTAACCATGGGTATTAACTTATAACTACTCATCTTTCGCATTTGTCTCTCCCAAATCATTATAGTCCATATCATCTTATGTCAAATTGAATTACAATTGCAGGAGTTAAATCCTTAGATAGTGTGCTTCAATTAAAAGTTAGGTTGAAGATTCTTAACCAATCTGGAAACCTTATAAGTGTGTGTCACGCCTATAATAATCCTATGAATCATTTTGATTTTCCATTGTCTCAAAAATGAAATATGTGTTTCTTGGACCTTCATGAATAGGTGGAACAGTGGCTATCGAGAAGATTCA